CTCTCTCTCTCTCTCTCTCTCTCTCTCTCTCTCTCTCTCTCTCTCTCTCTCTCTCTCAACTCGAAGCTCGACCCTTTCGCTAATGCTAATTACAACGTTAAATCCGGTGGAGCACTAGATCCGTGATGTAACGCATGGTGCAATGGAAGAAATCGAATGTGGAAAACGTGGTGCTTTCTTTACCGTGCGCACGTTAATTTTCATGGAATACATCGTACGCTGATAATATCGTAATGCGTTACGTTTTCTCTGAAGGAACGCGTAAAACACATTTTCCCTTCTATCAGATAAGAAAGGCGGAAAAGGAAAAGTGTCGTGTTTTCTCTTCAGCTTTATCATTTGTTCAACGGACTCGGTAATTACGCGAGCGCGTCGTATTCGATGCACAGTAAGTAGAAGCGATAGCAGAGTGAAATCCAAATTGGGAAGATCGTACGAACGTTAAAGTTTCGGCGAATGTGATCGTTTCTGAAAAGCGGTCGAACGTCGAGTTTAGCTTCTAAGGATAGTTGCGAGAAATAATATATAGTGATTAGTCGTTTCCTCGGTGCACAAAAAAAACCGATCGAAATAGAGATGACTCCCTTGTATGCACATAATAAAGTGAGAGTGAAGCGCAAGCAGTCAATCTTAAATTTGGTCAATTGTGATAGAGAATAATCAGTTGATAAATTGTATATTAGCGAATGAGCCTAAGTACGATTAGCATATCTTATTTTTCTGCGTTGCGCGCGTGCATTGCACTATCTCTATTTATACGTGGGCTTCTGCCTAACAGAAGAGGAACAGACGGTTGCTGAGCTCCGGGAAGTAAATATGGACGTGTGCTATGCGCGCGAGCGGTTGTGTATCATTACCTGTACTTTCTCCGATCCAGTCACGTACGGATAGCGGATATGAGAGCTACGTCGACGACGATTGACGTATGAAAACGTAGAGACTGAGGCAAGACAAGTCGAAGCGAACCTTTAGAGCCAAACGTAAATAAAAGGTAATGGATAATGTGAAACATGAAAAGAAGAAACATAAGTTACGAAAATGAAAAACAAAAGACACAATTAATATTAATAGTATTCGCAATCATTTCTATCACTAAAAAAGTTTTCTTGAGTTCGGAAGAAAGGATTTTCAGGAATCTGTTAATAAATATTTATATATAGTTCACATATCATATATATTTATCATATATATCAGAAATGCATTACAAGTAGATTATAGAAAGTAGATTACAAAAATGATATCTTATATATTTCTTAAATTTAAATGGATATGATACATCATTTTAATGGATATGCAATTTAATATGATATCAAAGTTCTAATTTAATTTGATATAATATGATATGATATGATATGATATGATATGATATGATATTATTTGTTAATAAATAAATATTTATATATAGTTCACAAATACATATTTATCATATATATCAGAAATGCATTACAAGTAGATTATAAAAAGTAGATTACGAAAATGATATCTTATATATTTCTTAAATTTAAATGGATGTGATACATCATTTTAATGGATATGCAATTTAATATGATATCAAAGTTCTAATTTAATTTGATATAATATGATATAATATGATATGATATGATATGATATGATGATCAATTTAATTTTGATATGATACATTATTTTAATGAATTTAATGAGTTTTAATGAATTTAATATTAAAGTTAGGCCAGTATTGCGAGCACGCAAATGATGACCATCTTGAAAATTTTGCGGTTGTCTGAAAACAAAAATTATGCAAGTTTCTTGATCAGTGAATTTTATTTAAGTACTATATTTAATTATTATCTAAAACAACGTAATTAATATCATATCCATATTTTCAATATAATAAAAACATTAAACAAATTTCCGGTTTTTATTTATTTTCTTTCTTTCTAAGCTCCAAAAAAATAAATAGAAAAAATTAATGTTGGCTGTTGATTGCGCTTCGGACGATAACGACATGTTTATTGAATATAAATGTAAAATCGTGAGATAATCAGATTAGTAGTATTTTCTAAATTCGATCTATGTGCGAAAACACAATTTCGAAAAAAACACGTTTAAAGTTTTATTAAACTTTTACTTTTCACGAAATTTTAATATGTAAAAACTTTTGGCATTACCATTGGCTATTTCACGGTTGCAGAAGGGACACATGTTTTTTACATTTTGAATTCATTTTGAGTTATTCTCGCTTCTCGAGTGTCAATCTTTGTTTCTTTAAAATTCGAAGACATTAATTATAGCTATCATCTCCATCATTTTGAGGATGCTTATATAAGGCCATTACTGAATATGCTCATATGTCCAGAAAATTGATGATTTTAACCATTCTTTTTTCGGCATAGATATTTTTCTCGGGGCGAATGTTTCTATGAAATTCTCATTGTTATTCTGAGTGTATGTTCTGATACGCCTACTTAATAAATTGTCTGAAGGCAAATTCTAGTAGATTGATTTCATGCATTCCTAAATTCTTTTTGTAAGGCAGTTGGCTAACGCACACTATCTAAGTCGCACCACGCAAATAATTCTGTCGATTTTTTCGTGAGTATCGATTTTCTCGAATTCTGCGTCTTTCAAATACTGCCGTGATTGCGCCAGTACATGTTCCGTGTCGAATCCTTCGTATTTCACGATAGTATTATTTTCCGTAGCAAATTGAAATTTATCGCCGGGATTTTAAACCATTTGCCTCTCTAAACTACATTTGAATAAAATAATTATAATATTAAAAACACGAGAATTGCATTATTGAACTTTGCGCGTGAGGTAGCATAGTGTTGCAACTTTTATGAAAAAACTTTTAGTCTACAACTTTTTTTTTTACGTAGTGTCCGTCCGCGCGCGCGGTTCACGTACGACATAAAAGTTCATTCCTCTCTAATGACGAAGAAAATGATAATTAGAAAAATTAGTCAGAACTTGAGTCTATGTACCATTGTTGATTTCCCGCATCTTGGATAACGCGAAAAGCAATCATAATGATAGAGGGAACAAGTGTATTGTTCATTTTTTCGCACGAGATTACGTTGTCTCCCGATTTTTCCGAGAAGGAAAATTGACTCCTGATTTCGTCATCGCTCGTGAGACTTTCGCGCGATTCGAGAGCGAACTTGCAGATATAAGAAAGAAATATTCAGATGACTCAACGCACAAAACTTAGTTTTACCAACATAAATTGTACTTCAGTTGCGCGTTGAATAAACCGGCGCGGAGCATTTTTACAAGTAGAGAACACGAGTTTACGAATGAGCGCCTACGGCGAAAGTTTGAACAGGCTTCAATCCAATCGTCGGGTAGACCTCTTTTGCATGAAACACAAACATCAAATAAAAAGAATTAACGTGTACGGTATTTCGAGGGTTAAAGGAAACGCAGCTACTCACATGAAGGAAAACAGCCGACCGTCCGACCAGCTAAAAGAGAATTAAATAAAGAAGGACGAGCAGACTCCCCTAAAATCGCGTAGCTATTTATCCGTAAAAGGGAAGTTATCCGAGGCTACCGTATTTATACACCGCAGTATAACTCCGCAGTCGAACGCGCCAACCGAACCATGAAGACGATGATCACCCAGTACGTGCAGCGGAACCACTGACATTGGGGTTAACATCTCCCCGCTCCCCAGTACGCATTCAACACCGCCAGGAATGAGGCAATCGGATGTACCCCGGACTACTTAAACTACGGGCGGGACGGCTAATCAATATATTATTTTCTCGAATTTTTTTTGTATAAGGTTCAACTGAAAAATTTATTAAAAGAGTTTTCTCGTTTGTAAATTTTAAGAAACCGGTTTTTCTTCTTTTATAATTTTTTAAAGCTTACTGTCTTAAGAATATTCCGTAGGAATAGTTTTTAGAAAAAAAATATTGGCCAAGGTATATAGATCGGAATGATACATGAGGACTTGTCTTCAGACAATTTATTAGATAGATGTCTCGAAGCACACATAAGTCAGAATAACAATAAATCAATTATATGTTCTGATTTTTTCATAACTTTCCTCAGATCTGGTGGACAAATAATTATTTTTTGTTTCTACAAAATCCCAAAAACAGTTTCCAATGATGAGTAAAAGCTCCATCAGTGGATAAAAAAATGGCCTTTTTAAGATCTTCCTTTAGCGCTAAACTACTTATTAGAGAAAATACAATATGGAATATAAATTCTTTTCTATGATTTACTTTTAATGTACATGGAAAAAAGATTTCTCTGCCGTAGTTAATCATAATTGGTTGAAAATGTATTTGTTAATGTACCCAAAAATTTACTATTATTACTACTATTTCGATTTCATAGCTAAATATACGACTATTGATAGCTATACTTTCAAGATCTTTAAGCACCGTAAGCTTACGCATTCCCGGACAAAACGGCGTTGTCTACACAACCGCTTGCACATCCGCCGCCCGTTAATGACGACATTTCGTCACAGTCGATGCCCGTAAATTATGCTGAGCCATTCATTCAAGCTGAGTGACTATCGATACAGTGCGTTACTATGGTATCAATTCTTCATCAAGCCCGGTTTTATACTCTCAATTTGCGACACCTGAGTCCCTATAAGGAACATAATCGACGTTGGTTTTTATTCTTCCCTTCGCTGCCTTTCTTTCTTTTTTCTCATCTTCCTTCCTCCTTTCTCTCTTCCCTTTCACGCTCTTTAGGGATCGCAACATCGAAAAGGAATCCTGTGATTTAATTAAAAATACGGCGGAACATTGTGCGTGTAAAAGGACGAATTACATCGTTCGCGAAATGTTCCATTAACTTAACACAGGTGTGCGCGAATCAATTTCCGGTGCATGTGTAACACTGACTCGTGAAAAACTGACTCGCGGTGGTCCGTGATAGAATCGAGAATCACTGGCGAGACGAGCGGCTCTCACAAGGGGATTGTCGGTGTATCGTAATTAAAATAGAATCCTTCGCGGTAGGCCGATTATTATATTGTTCGTCAGCGATAGATCGAGTCCGCGACACGTCAGGTATCTGTCGCGTTTAAAGCGTGTGATCTTCTCCCTCCCCCCTTTACTTCGTCAAATTGTCGAGCAAATTAATTCTCGCGCCAGCGCGGAGAGGAGTCGATCGTCGGGAACCGATAATAATTTCGTAGCCGGCGTAATTTACGTTTAATCGCCGAGGAAAAGATTCATCGATCACGCGCAGCCTAAGACTACGTAAATCAAACACTGGATACACCATTGACTCGTCGGTGAAATATGGAAATCGTGAGTTCGTGCAAACACCGTTATACCCCGATACCGCACGAGAGAATTCTCTCGGCGCTTATAGATTCGTGTGCGCGCCCGCGGCAAGGTAAAAGGTACATCGGTACTGGCACGATCAGACTCGGAAGATACGCGTTTTTTTTCGCCCGCTCTTTCTCTCCCTCTTTCCCCCTCTTTCCCCCTCACCCCTTCTTTCTCTCTCTCTCTTTCTCTCTTTCTCTTTCTCTCCCATTGATTTTACCCCCGTTGTGCCTTCGCCACCGTATCCGCGAAACGTTCCTCGCCGCCGCCGTTACCGTTCGATTCCCTGATGTGGCTCGCGGCGTTTTACAAAACAACACGCGCGCTGACTCGATGCTGGAACAAAAAGGCGAAGCTCCGAGCACACGATTCATCGTTGTTTGTCCGTGCCGGCTAACTTCGTAAACTGGTTGCGCGAGGGCCGAATGTCGATTTCCGCTGCGGCGCCGTTACTGCGGCTCACGAAAAGCTCCGCGAAACGGTCGCTTGGATAATCGCAACGCGCCCTTCGTTGTAACAGATAAATATAAGCATTCGGATAATTATTATATTTTCGAATAATTATTTTTTGTAAGAGTAACGCGAAGCCATATCGAATGAAAGCATGAACGTTTCTAGATGAAATTGCTGCAACAATTTCTAGATAAGATTTTGAACTAATTCTTCCTTTCCGAAACGGACCCCGAATTAATGGGTTCCAACTGAAGTAGTTGGAACTCAGAACGAGTGACATCGTACAAAATTTTGATTGATCTTTTTTCTCGAAATGGGGGTTCTGGAATTCCAATTGACTATTTCTAACGCGAGGAGTTGGAAGGGGCGACGTAAAAATTTCGGTTTATCACTCCACCACCCTACATATTGATATGCCATTCTCCGTGACTGCTTTCCCGAATCGAATCGCTTCTTCCCGCCGCGCTATGGGAGCGAGCTCATATGTACAATAATTCGCGAGGCCGCATCAACTATCGCACGCATCTGCTCGGAACACTCGTTCGAATCTCAGTGGAACACATAGAGCGCAAATTGCAGCCGCGGGAGTCGGCAGTCGGTGGAAAAAGCGCGCGCGCTCGAAATTATGCGCCAGACGATCGTAGCCCGCGGTGTGTTTTGCCGCCTGCGGTAATCACTATACTAGACGGCGTACACCAGAAGTTCAAGGGTTTCACGCTTCGCCGTGGCGTTATAACGCCGCGCGCGCGGCCTCCGTAGGCGCACACGCACGTCCGAGAGAAAGGATTAAATCCTGCTCGGCGGCGGCGGCTTCATCGGTGGCTCGCGTATCGCTCGCGAGCGATCTCGAGTCGTCTACGTCGCGGTAGGTCAAAACCCGCGTGATCCCTCTCGCGCTCTTGTAATCCCGTTAATGAAGCTCGCATTATACCGTAACGACAATGTCGCGGGCGCGGCGTGTTACAAGTTGAGTCGCGATTACGTCCGACGCATATTACGACTACGCCGTTCGGCGAGCGTGCGTGACATGAAGAGCTTTCAGAATAAGACGCCTCAAGACGTGCTACGCTTATCCTAATTCAGCGCACGCGAGCGACCGAGACCGATATGAATCTAGCAATCAGCTTCAACAGAAAAATAATTAACAACTATTCATTTAACGTTTGTACCTCAACGATTAAAATATTACGGTTAAATAATAGCTAGCAAGAAGATTCATAAAAGAGAGAGTTTAGAATTTTCAAAAAGAAATATAAAAGAATATTTAATAAAATATAACAATAAATAATAATATAATAATTTATATATAATATATTAATATGTAATATTTAATAATATAATAATTTTAATAAAAAGAATATTTTTGTAATAATAAATATTTCAAAATCTAAGAGAAAACCTTGCCATTTGTTAAGATACCCAAAAACAGCCAACGCCGTTTTTGCTGATTTATAATTCAACTCCGAATCGATTAATACTAATTTTTTATTTCTTTAATATAAAAAAAGAAGATCAGGAATTTGCATCATGGCATAAAAGCCGATGAAAAAGTATGGAAAGTTGATTTTAATTTGATTGTATTTCTAAAAGCCACTTTTCGAAAAAGTCAATACCGAAGAGAGTTGCATACGAGCCAGCGGGCCGAGCTGAGGCGAATCGAAACGCGAAACTAGATTGTGACTGATAGTGCGAGAGAATTCGTAAATAGTAGTCTATTGAGCGTTCAGTTGGTCGCGTTTATTGCCTGAACGCGCACACGATTGAGCGAACACAGTATTTTAAGAGCTCGTGTGGGATAACCGTTCCGCTCACCCGTGCGTCTCTCCGATTTTCCTTTATTGATCCATTGTCATGAAAAACGCGCCGTTCGTTTCTCGAGGACGTCATCATCTTGTCATTGTTGATATAAATCGATCTGTTCGGGACGTAACAATATTTTCAAAAAGCACTGAATCGTTGGAACACAAAGAACCTAATAAAGAAGGTATGTACAGACGAATACGAACGATTCTCTATTGAAGTATCAAGCGATTTGTGATAACTGTTAGCCCGTTGCTAGCTATTTTCTAACACCTCCGTTTTTAACCGTTTTACAAACGAAACGAATGGTGGTACATACAAGTTGCAAACAATGACACAGTTGCAAACTGTGCTATTGTTTTTTTTTAATTGATTGCCACACTGATGCAACCGACGTACGTCCATCACGAGCAACACGCCACGGAGACCGGTGGACTTTTTGATCGGTTTATTTTCTATCAAGAATTTAATGACACAACCGGAATCACAACTAGACGCCGAGTCGAGTGTGACGTTCATATGCACCGCAAAATTATTCATATGGAAATTAAGACACGTCGGCGCGCATGAATATATCGCCGGAGGGCGGCTGGGCGACGTTCGCGTGCATGTAGGTGTACGCGCGCTGCGCGGATCTGTGACGAATCTTTTTCGCGATCTCAAAAAATTGACGAAAAGCGATCACGAGATCTTGAAATTCCGCTTGATGTGCATACGGACTGACCGGTCGCCAATAATCCTTTAACGGCGACGGGCAAGCGAGGGAAGAAGAAAAAATCGTCGATGTTTTGTAAATACGGCTTCGAAGTGCGAACCGATCGACGATGGATCATGGATGATGTCGCTTGCGATCTCGTGCAACTCATTAGTCGAATTCATCGAGTGCATGAGACGCAACATCGTCGCTACGTACCTGCGAACACAACTCTCTTCGAGTTCTCGGCTCGGCTTCAGCCAGCTATCGCCGAGAAAGAAGCGCTGCCCCCTCAGGGTCAGCGTGTAACGCCGGGTATCCGGAGCGCCTGGCATCCCGTGCTGGCTAAGCGTCGGAACGAGGTCTACCTTGTTTCAGGAATGCACGGCACCGCGGCACGGCTGGCGCGGCCGACGTTTGTCGCAACGACTTCCAGTTGCACGCGTTTCTGAGGAGAGAACGACGCCTCTGTGACTACGACATTCCGAAACGTCTTTAATTGCGGCATCGGCGCGATGGGAACGTAAGTGCGTTACATTAGCGGCTTCGTCGCGGAATCACGTCGTCGTCGTCGTCATCGTCGTCATGTCTCTAAGACATCTAGCTTGCGCGGTTACACAAAGATACAAGGGAAACCTCCACTCCTCTCTCCTTCCCCCCCTCTCCCCGTAAGCAGAAACCAGGTGTCTAACTACGCTAATGGCTCGTCAAAGAATACGGAATGCACATATGGCGGAAGGCGTGGGGGTTAGAAAAGCCGAGAGAAGCAAGTATGCCAAGTGCTACATACGTACAATTGCCGTAAATGCCCTCCCACCCCCTTTTTGCACCGACACAGAGTTACTACAAGCATACAGCTGCTGCAGGAAAACATTACTGCAACTAGTAGCTGATATAGTCGTCGTTGTCGCAACAACTGCAGTTGCTGCCTTTGTTGTTGTTGTCATTCGATCGATATTCGTTTTTAAAACTGCCAAAAATACGTATGCAGACGTGCATATTTTTGGCGTAAAATTGGTTTCTTTGCAATAAGCTGGCTCAACTGTTCGGACGTTGCTGATATTTTTTTGGCAATTAGCATCGGCGCTTTGTCGCCGATTGCTTTTCTTCGCCATATACACGTTTATGTCGTTTCCGGTGATAATAAGTGACACGTCTCTTCGAACTAGAGTTATGCCAGGATATTAACTTCAAAACGCGCGCTCCAAGCTGGCATTACGAAGAGAACAAAGTGGACGTCACGCTAGCGTAATAGCCAAGACACTTTTGTCGAGGGAATGCTCGAGAAGCGAAACAGAAGAGGAAGGAAACGTTGGACAAAAAAGTCCGAAATATCCCATTAATCAAAAGTATTATATGGGATAATCATGCACCAAGATCAAATTTTGCATATAGGGCCAAAAATGCAAAATACAACTAATTAATATTCTTTCAAGTTATTATAAACGAATGAGAACGAATGAGATCAACACTATGTGTTAACTGCAAAGTTAGCGATTCAAATCTGAGCACTGAAATTTATTTTTCCAATTCCTATTAATTAATTTCTGTCATTCGACAAGATATATATCAAATGACCATAATTAAGAAGTGTACGTGCAAGTGATTAACGAATTTTTTTAGAGCGTAGAAATTTATCGTTCAATAACTTGAAAAAATTTGAATTATTGGCTGAGTAAGCAGAAAAACAATTTTTTTCACTTACATGCAAAAGTTAAGCCGAGTCGATGGTGTAAGCCTTATATGACTCTCTTGTGAGAATTGTTCATTTCGAGCAGTAATTGTAGATCAGAGAGAGACTAATGAAATTTTTGTATGATCGCGCTCTGGCTGATTCTCAAATCATTTTCATATTAATTTTAATACGATGACTCGCAGTACCTTTCTGATTGAATAAGGAAGCGAATGCTCATCGTACATATCGGATGTGTACGCGTTATCGATCCAGCTCTAATTCAGAAGTCTCTCAAAATATCAACGAGCCCGTCCGCACTTGATAAGTACATACCTCTCGAAGTACATTCACGGATGTTTGAAATTCTATCGGTTGCCAATCGATTCGTGGATTTCCACAACAATTAAGTTTTGCCGGTGCTTTCAATGCTATTTCAAGTGCGCGAAGCATTCCGATGAAATCGTGTCAAGTGAGTACGTGAATGGAGAGACTATTGAATGTAGTATACTAGAATTATCGCCGTGACTACGAATTTTCCGGCGTCGATTGTATACACAGGTTTGTGCCTGTTCTCCCTTATTATGCGCATTTTATTAGGCGCAGCCTAGAGATATTTTCTCAATCGTCGTCGAATTAGAATATCCATGCGACCGCAGAAATGTCCGTGTTATCGATCGGCAAGAGTTGTATCGCGCGCTTCCGGTGCTTAAATCACCTCTTACGCGGCGGAATATCAATTTCATCGCACGGAAGGCTAGGTCCGATAAAAGAAACAACGTGCACGAGCGCACTCGTAACGCCGCCGCGGGCGTTATTTGAGGAGGGACGCCGCTTCGGCCGCGAAGCATTGCGGACGCGGAAACGCAAAGGGGGAAAGGTGGAGGAAAGGCAGAGGAAATGTTGCTGCCACTGTCGGATCCGATTCATCCTCGTGGTTCTGTGAACCAGCAGGATACGCACCTGAGTCGCGCCGGGTAATAAAATTACGCGTGCTGCTGCGCTACCACAGTAGTCGCATATATATCCGACGGTAATTAAATGTCGACGATATGTATGGACTACACGGACTTCCCGGCTATTTTTGTGTCGCTTCCCTTCCGCGGCTACGCCAAAAGATTGACAACGAATTCACTGGGCGCGTAAACTCGATTAAATGTGGGTAACAGAATTATCTCCATCGCGTGTCTGTACGTGTATCTTTCAGCGGTTTCATTCCATCAAATTTTTCAGGGCGGCACTACATTCAAAAAGAAGAAGAGACGCTAATGAAAATACTGCTGCACAAAATCTTGTTCGACATCGCCCAAATTTTATACAGCTTGCGTTGTCGCTATTTTCCGCAATCTAATGTAATCGTTATAAAAGATCGTAGCCGCTATAGATCAAGGCTCACCACTGTACAGGCTTTACATTCCCACGAAAGGCACGCTCATCGACACGGCGCGAACGGGGCGGCGGGGCGCGGCGAGTTAAGTAGCGGCGGAATTTCATAATTTTATTTCATAATTTTATTTCATTATATTGCGGAAATAATAAGTAAAGTAAAGTTGGAGGTGCGAAGTTGAAACCGCTCGCGAGCAGGCGGAGGTAGAGGCAGAAGGAAAAGTTAGTTCGTCAGAAAAAACTCGGAAAAAAACGTCAGAAAAAACAATCAAAGGCTGGCGCAAAGGGATCGCGCAGTACGAAACGGCGGTAAAACAACTCGGTCGAAAGGAAACCGATAACCACTAATCAAATTCCGGAGTGATTCTCGCGCGTAGTGATTTCTCTCGCACGGATTCGCGAACCTTTTTCACGCTAATTCCGACACGCTCCCTTCGCATCGATGCCCGCCCTTTGAGTCTTCAGCGCCCGTAACGCTCTTCGCGGTCTCCATGCCTATCGTACCCCGTCCCATTCACCAGCCCTTTGGCTATTCGCTTCGCGACCTGGCTGCGTATTTCTCTCCTGTGATTTCTTATTCTTCTTCGAGGTCCCGATAGGCGCGAATACTGCGCGTACGGTAATAGTAAGGCCTCACCGCCCGAGAACGCGCGGATTTCTCTTACAGACATACACACATTCCTCCTATTTCTCTCTCTCCTCCTCTCCCTCTCTGTCTCGGCAGAACCTTACCTACATTACGTACGAGACAAGAGGAGAGAGAGCCTACCACCGCGGCACAATGAAGCACTGGGAGGCGTTATAAAGGGCTCTGTGTAGTTATTAGAGGTTATGACGGCGGTAATATCTCACTCAGCAGGCTTCTCTGTAATGTTATGGCCATGGCCCCATCCCCTATTTCCCCTCGTCGAACCCCTTTGCCCGCTTTCCTTTGCCGCGCTCCCTTTTTTTCTCCTCGTTTTCCTTATTTTACTATCTTTTTTCTATTCATTCTTCTGTGCTCTCCTCCTCTCAACTTCACTCTTTCCTCCTTCCTATATCGCCGCTTGGGCTTGCTCCACCACGTCTAGCGTTAAATTCTGCATTCGAGGAGGTCGGCAAAAAACACAAGGCCGACGAATCGGCCAGTTACTTCTCTTTCCCGGCAATTTTACGCGCTCGTCGGTACCTAGTGTAAATCAACGAGCCCGTCCGCACTTGATAAGTACATACCTCTCGAAGTACATTCACGGATGTTTGAAATTCTATCGGCTGCCAATCGATTCGTGGATTTCCACAACAATTAAGTTTCAATCAACGAGTCCGTCCGCACTTGATAACTGATACCTCTCGAAGTACATTCACGGATGTTTGAAAGTCTATCGGCTGCCAATCGATTCGTGGATTTCCACAACAATTAAGTTTTGCCGGTTTTGCTTTCAATGCTATTTCAAGTGCGCGAAGCATTCCGATGAAATCGTGTCAAGTGAGTACGTGAATGAAGAGACTGTTGAATGTAGTATACTAGAAATATTTTGCAACAATGCGTTTAACTAACGCACTTAATATAGTGGATAGCTAAATTTGCTTGATAAATTGATTGAATACTCGAGTTGCAAATTGAAACAGATTACTGTTTCGATTTGCAAATTGAAACAGATTACAGATTATTGAGATATTTATTTAATATGTAAATTAAACGTAAAAATGGCAATATAGCACTGCTTCACATGACTCGACACAACAGTCTCAGCTCAAGTGTCAGCGTGTCAGTTGAAATTTTGTTAACCGTCTTAATTACACGCATTTAGACTTAATTTCGATAATGAAGACATCACACAATGCAATTCGCGAGGTAAGGTTACTGCGAGCGTACCGTCTTAAATTCGTAAAGATCATCCAAGAAAATTAATTATTGCCGTATTAATTATCATTTGGAAATGAACGCCGTATTAATTATCGTTTGAAAAGATAAATGAGCATTTAAAGACGTTTGTATCTAAATACTTCCTTTGTGTGTACACTGATACCTTATTTTAAAAAATATTAAATAAGTACTAAGTAAATTAAAAATTCTTTTTCTCTTTTTTTTTCCTTCATTACGTCGGGAGATTATTATTCATCTTACAGTCTATGGCTTCATATCTCTTTCCACTAGTTTTTAAATTACTTAATCGCGAAGACATGTTAAAACGACGGAAAGATAAAGAGAGGGAAGGTGAGATTTATTCCGGAACGCTTAACGTCTCAGCTTCTCCCCCAACTCAGATGCCTGTTGCGCTTCTTGGCTTCGGCTCTGATATTCTCGGCTGGAGAATATAAAGCGGCGGAAAGGAGTTAGCGAACAAGGGATGAGAAAAGGTACGAGAAGGAAAGCGGGAGGCAGTAAAGTACATTATTCAAATCCTGTG